AAATAACCACTGTTTTCTGTTTTTAATACCCGTTTCTGAAAGGAACATCCAATGACCAAAACATCACGGACCGTGATGGACCTTTTATTTTATACATTTTGTTAATGAAATTGCTGTAATATGTTTCTTCTGGGTCCGTGTATGTTTTGGTCATTGGATTTTCCTTTCGAAACGGGAATTAAAAACAGAAAGCAGTGGTTATTTGATTTTCGTTTTAAAATACAAAAATTAAAATTGAAATACAAGGCGTTTTTTTTTCATGGTCGAAAGGGATGAGCAAAATTTAAAAAACGATTCGTTTTCATTTTCTATTTCATATAACAAAAATAAAATCACTAGAAAACAGAAACGGAGAAAAGGCCTGTTTTTCATATTCTGAGACCGGATGTTGTCATTTACAGGACGGTGCTGTGGAGAAGAAACAGTAGGCTAGTAGACTGCGGTCAATCCAGCCGTGAGTTCGATCTCCGTGGTCAAATCAGCCGCACTTAAATTTAGTGTACAAGTATTCTCAGCATTATGGTAAATGCGGGAAACAGCGTATTTACTTCCGGTTTTCAAAATAAAGGTATTAAGAACAGTAAGCTATCATTCGAACCTACATTTAAAATAAAATATGTTACATTAAAGTGTTTCATGCGCCTCTGATGGATAAAAACACGTTATATCAAGTATCTTTACTGCACCAGTGCTCGTATTTCCAGGCTATGGGTGAAGCATTTTCATTATAACGTTACTTCAATAATGATGCAGTAATCATGACAAAAATCGTCTTATTTTGCAGCTCTACAGCTTTCACACTGAATCTGTAAAAGGGAAAAATAATTAGTTTTAACTTCAAACACCTACTGTCTCTTCCTCTATATTATTTTTCCCTTTTACAGATTCAGTGTGGCAGCTGTTGCAGGTGGTTCCACATACAGTGCCTACAAATGGACACAGCAGAGCTGCAAATAAGAAGCATGTGGACTGGAATTGCATTTTGTGTGAAAAGTAAACAAATTAGAATTGTGTAGGATTTTGTGTTTAGTGTTTATATTATCAAGATGTTATTAAACATTTGTGTGAAATTTTGTCATGATTACTGTATCATTATTGAAGTATAATGAAAATGCTTCACCCATAGCCTGGAAATATTGAGCAATATGTTTTTACAGTTACTCAAATATATGAAAATACCACATGGAGGTACAAATATGGACGACTTTTATTGTTGAATTTCTCCAAATTGGTACAGTAAAAATGCTTGATATTAAGTATGCTTGTAGTCTCATATGTGTAATAGTCAAATATACCATCCATAGCCAGGAAACACTGAGCAATATGTTTTTACAGTACCTCAAATATGGTCAAATATGCAATCTCTGGAGGCATAAATATGAGGCTTTTATTTTGGCATTTCTCCACACTGGTGCAGTAAAGATACTTGATATAAAGTGTTTTTTATTCATCAGGGGCACAACACTGTAACATATTTGAATTATAGTTTACGGCTCTAAATACCTTTATTTTGAAAACCGGAAGTAAATACGGCTTTTCTCCGCATTTACCATAATGCTGAGAATACTTGTACACTCGAAATTTAAGTGCGGCTGATTTGACCACGGAGATCGGACTCACGGCTGGATTGACCGCAGTCTACTAGTCTACTGTTTCTTCTCCACAGCACCGTCCTGTAAATGACAACATCCGGTTTCAGAATATGAAACAACAGGCCTTTTTCTGTTTCTGTTTTCTAGTGATTTTTTTTTTGTTATATGAAATAGAAAATGAAAATCGAATCATTTTTTAATTTCGTTCATCCCTTTTTGACCATGAAAAGAAAAACGCCTTGTATTTCAATTTTAATTTTTGTATTTTAAAACGAAAATCAAATAACCACTCGTTTTCTGTTTTTAATACCCGTTTCTGAAGGAAAATCCAATGACCAAACATACACGGACCCTTCTGTATTTGTTTCGATACAAAATGTCATTAAAAGAGAAACTAATTATACAACCCTTTTTAGTCCACATAAGACAAGCTACTGTTTAACCTGTCTGAATTGTCCTTTCTACCCCTTTACCTCCTGGGGGTGTAAGACTCATCACCAGTCTATATTGCCTACAATCCTAACCACTATTTATTTGCCCTCTGAGCAGGTCTCTCCCTCCAAGAGTAGTAGTTGAGCCGAGTACTTTCTGTGTTGGGGGAGACTCCAGTTTGGTTCGTCTGGGCTCCCTTTTGCTTTGGTCAGAGCCCACTGGGACTGAGCACTTTACATCTGTGTTTGCATGTGGTTTGTCTAACAATGAGGGTTGGTTCGCTTCCTGTTTGTCATGTTGTTGGGGATCGGGCCTTGACGCAGACACCGACCTGATACAGCGTTTGTTTTGACATACAGTTGTCTTATGTCCTCTGCTTTGTCTCTGAGCCTGGTTCCAGCTGGCTTTAGAATGAGTCTCTGGTGATCCGATCACAAGTGGTTGCTTTAAGTACGTCAGTTTACACCTGTCTGCTCTATAGAGCTGTACCCTATTCAAATGTTGTCAGTCCATTATTAGTGTCCTTTTGTTCGGTTCAGAGACACACTCTCCGTTACCTGCACTATCAGCAGCCCTGCAGGAGAGACGCTGCTTCACACTGCCTCACAGACGATGAAGATGACAGTAACAGTGTGCGTCCTGCTCCCACCGCAGGGGGAGAGTCTGGTGATATTGTGATTCAGTGCGTTCACAAACATCTGCTGCTGATATCTGATATCTGATATATATATGATAGGTATAAGAGCATAAACACATCATTTACATCACAGTGCACCGAACACTTTCTGGGTTCCTACAGGACATCAGTCAAAATGTTTATTCATCCATTTCTGCATCCAACATTAGGGGTCACCAAAGCTTCCTGGGGGGGTCACAGTATGTACACAGTAGGCCTACATCTCAGTGTTTGGTTCACTGAACAAATGAGTGATCTAATAGAACAATAGTGAAACTTCAGGGAGGCAGCTGTACGGTACAGAGGTTACAGGAAAGAAAGATTAATAAAGGTTAAAGGTTGAAGTCAGAGTATAGTTTACTGTTTAGTTAATAGAATAAAGCATTGAATTAAAGTTTAATACTGTTAATAACTTTCTAAAATTATATAAAATCAGTGACATTAACAGTAAAAAGTATTAGTTGTGTAACTTTAATGTATTAGTGAGTTAACTGACAGATATGTTGTATAATGATGGAAGTTGAATAAATGTTGTTTATCAGTGTATAAGGTAAACTGTCCAAATACAGTTGTTATCAGTGTAAACAGCAATAATTACTGTAATCTCACAGATAATGACTTTTATTACACTTCTATAACTTTTAACATTCACATTAAAATAATAACAATCCAATAATAACAGCACTCTGCTGTAAATGTAAGTCTGATTATTGTATTATAGCAGAGTTCACCTGGATTTATAGATCATTGTTTACACTGTAAATATCTTTCATTAAACATTTAAAAAACAATTACACAAGGTTTTATGTAAAATTAAGGCTCAAAACTGGATTTGAATCATAGAAAATGACTGTATTTATTTACTGTTGTTTTACAGTATTCTTTGCACCCAGCTGCAGAAACATTACTGTATTTTTACAGTGTGTAGTTAATGGTCCTGCTAACAGTGGATTCTGTAACATTTGACTGATATAAAGAGATATTATGGTCTGTTGATGCTACACTGAATACACAATGTCAATAATAATGAGCATTATAACTTTTAAAACTAAAAACCTTTCCATGTAAATGTGTTCAACCTGTCCACACATAAAGAAAGTGATGAACACCTTTAAAGGGTGAAGAAGGTTTCTGGGTCCACGGACCAGATCCCACACTGAGGAATAATCTGGGCGGGAACAACAGACACTTCCTGGTGTGCACATCATCAAACCTGAGCGGCGGTTGAGGCTGAAAGAGAAGGAAGTTACCGTCGGTTACCGTCCGTTACCGTCGGTTACCGTCCGTTACTGGTACAGTGTGTGTTCCTGTGTGTGTACCGGTACCGGGAGAGGAGCTGCTGGCTGAAGGAACAACGGGAAACCGGACTTCAGCTCCAACGTCACAGAGCGGTAAGATTGTTTCTTATTGTGTGTCACTGGTTGGAGCCGCGCGCTCTCAGCGACCGGAAAACGGTGTGGTTACTATGGCAACGACCGCCAAAACAAACTCAAATACCGTCACACAGTCTGTGTTTAATATCGATCCACCTGGATCCTAAATACACTGTATCTGTATAGATTATTGATCAGTATACACTGTATCTTTATGGATTATTGATCAGTATACACTGTATCTGTATAGATTATTGATCAGTATACACTGTATCTTATTGATTATTGACAGTATACACTGTATCTTTATAGATTATTGATCAGTATACACTGTATCTTTATTGATTATTGATCAGTATACACTGTCGTAGTATAATGTATCTTTATAGATTATTGATCAGTATACTTTTTACTGTTATCACTTTATTTATTGATTATTGATCAGAATACACTGTATCTTTATAGATTATTGATCAGTATACACTGTATCTTTATAGATTATTGATCGTATACACTGTATTTTATAGATTAGAGATACACTGTATCTTTATAGATTATTGATCAGTATACACTGTATCTTTATAGATTATATTAAAATAAATACACTATTTTTTTATTAATAATATTAAAAAATAAAAAATATATTTTTATTGAAAATAAAAAAAAAAAAAAAAAATTTTTTATATAAAAATAAAAAAAAAAAAATTTTTTTTTAAAAAAAAAAAAAAAATGTATCTTTATGGATGATATTGATCCTGTATTGACTAGGGATGGGCATCGATTTTCGAATATTCAAATAGTCATTAAATCATAAAAAATCAAATAGTTCATCGTATCTGGAAAGAAATATGTTGTATTACTGGCGCCTTCCGCACGGGGGCAGCGTAGCACTTGATGATACACAGTGTGGCGGGCTAGATGCCAGGCTGTAGAAGGAAACAAACAGAGAAGAAGATATGATGGAGAGATTACTGAAGCAACCGTCAAAAAGTTCCCTGTGGAGCTATTTCAAAAAAACAAGTGACACAGAGGTACAATGTAAACTCTGCGAGGAAAAGCTTTCGTATAGCTTTTATAGCTTTTTGTTCTGGTGGAAAACTAACGACAACAAATATCCCCAACCGGCAAAATTAGCGAGTGCTTCCTTGTGTGTGCCCGCCACATCTGTGCTGTCGGAGAGGGTGTTTTCCACGGCGGGACTTATTGTAAATAGACTTCGCTCCCGTCTTCATCCCGAGCATGTGGACATGCTCATCTTTCTAAATAAAAGCATGTAATAGGCTGCAGTCGTAAACTATTGCTCTGGTTATGAAGACGGGCGGGCATGTTAAAAATGTTGACGTCAGCGATGCTGTCTCTCAGGTATGTTCAGTTGTTCAGTAAAATATTATTATTGCTGGAAGTCACTGCACTATGTGTACAGTGTAACAGCTCTATAATGTTGTGCTGTGAAATGCATCACTGTCAAAATAAAAAGACAGAGCTCTGAAAAATCGCGGCGGATCTGTTTCTGGGGGGGTATTATTAGATTAATATTTACGAATATTAATCGATTAGTACCACACGATTATCGAATAGTACTTTTGCCTGAAATGCACATCCCTAGTATTGACAGTCAGACTGTGGACATATGACGGCCTTTAGCTCGTGTTTCTAGAGTTACGTGTTGTTACGAACACGTTAGGAATTGTTAAAATGTGATATTTCTTAAAGGGAGTTTGGTGCAGGGAGCTTTTAGTTGGATTCAGACTGATTTGTGCATTTTTTATTGTTTTGTTATTAAAGTTGAGTAACATTATTATTTTTATTGTAGTGGGGATTTAAGTCCATAGGAATGTCTTATTGTGTTTTAATGCAAACCTAATCTACCTGACCTGACGGCATATTTTCAGTCTAATTAAATCTGGTTGAACTTATGGACCAATCGTAGGAAGCTTCGTCTTTCATTCACAGCTCCAACCGCTGTGCGAGCACTGCAGGGCTTCAGAAGTGAACTAAAACAAACTATGACTCAGCAGTCACTTCTCTCTGTGGTTTCCTGTTCAACAGCACAGACCAGTTTCCTCTGCAGGTCTGAAGCCAGCAGACACAGCTGGTACATGAATGTCTGTCCAAGGTGTCTCATACAGAAGTTCTGTAACACTGACGGGCTCATCATCCTTATGTTTTAGTGTTGGTTGTGTTCAGATGACTCACCCTCAGCATGAAGCCGGACCAAATGCTACATTACTGTTTTCTCTTGAAGGACAAAAGCTTAAAATGTTGCTCAGATTCACATACCACATAATCAGGGGCGTTTCCAGGGGGAGGGAAACATGAAATCCTTTGCTCTCCTATTCTCTTTCAGAGGTTGCAGCGGGCTCCTCTTAAAGCTAGAGTGAAGATCCTTGTATCATATGGAACTAGAAGAACTAACGCATCCATGTCATGTTAGTACATTTTGGTGATGGATAAACTAGCATGGCCCATGCTAGTTTATATGTATATATATATATATATATATACACATATACATATATATGTATATATATATATATATATACACATATACATATATATGTATATATATATATATATATATGTCTATAATTATATACATTGTATAGATAGCAGGCTACTTCGGGGCTTGGTCTTGAACACAACATCATTATGTGATCTGTAACAGTTACAGTTGCTGGCGGGGGGGCGGAGCATCCTCTGTGTCAGTGCCAGAGTTTTCCCTAGACAACTCTTTTGTGACCACCACTGTCTGCTCCTCTTCGTCGGTCTCATAAAAACGTATCGAGAAAGGTTTCTTTCAACATCTTTGCATTCTGAATTAAATCCTTAGGTCTAACACTAGCCAAGCGTAAAGCGTGAAGGCAGCATCAACCCCGCCCATCCTATGGTCGTTAAAACTTTCATCACGTGATGGGAAGTCATTCTGTCCATTTGTTATTTTTAGGGACCGGGCCAGCGACCACTGGAGGTCCCTATTGTATTTGCTACAATTCTTCTTACATATTATTAGTTTTAGACCCTTCGACTGCATATTTGGAGGCCACAACATGTTCGAAAACTCATGAAACGCGGCGCACATGTCAGTCGTGGTGAAAATAGTCGGATTTTCTGGGGGTCCACTTTGAGCATGGCAAAAAATCCAGTGGGCGCCATATCCCAAACCCAACAGAAGCCATTTTTGGCGATTTGCACACGTTGCATTTGAACGAACTCCTCCTAGGGAATTGATTGGTAAACTTCAGATTTGGACACAGCCATCTAAAGACATTCACTATTAAAAGTTGTGCTATTTACGTTATTCCGTTGAACAGCGTACATGTAAGATAAGATAAGATCTACGTGTGTGTCGATTTTCGGGGAAAGGGGCCCCGCGTGGTACAGTTTATGGGCCCCTGGGGGGCCATTTTGCCATGCTCATAGTAGACCCCTAGAAAATACGAAATATTTCGCCATAACTGATGTGAAGCCTCTTAATATGCGTTTGTTTGGGAGAAAAAAGAACAAGAATTCCTTCAATTACAATAGGGCCTTCGCATGGTCAGTGCTCAGGCCCTAATAATTATTTGAGAGTTTTAGTGTCAATGTGTCAGCTATCTGTTGGCTAGTGTCAGTCGACCTCTCGGTCTCTCTGTTGATCCAGTTTGTGTTGAGTTTCTCCCTCTCACATTCAATCATTTACCTGTTTTTCTTTCTCTTCTTCTTTTTGGGGCTTCAGTCTTCCTGCACTAATTATTCTATGATATGTGATTTTTTGGACAAAATTAGCCTTTTTCATGTTCACTTTAGTCTGATTTAATCTGCACCAGCAAACAATTTAGATTATAATCTGATTTGACGTCACTGCTGAGAGCTGAGGGAGAACTGGTCAGCTTTTGACTGAAACTTGATCAGCTGTTTATTCTCTGACTGTACATAACTACACACACAGGCCGCCCTCTCTCAGGAGCCAGGAAATCCTAATATGGGCAAAGAGGGTGGGGCCTGGGTGAAGCTGAGTTGTGATAGGCTGAGACAGTTTGTGTTGTTCTACAGGACTACCAGTCCAAGATAAGACTGCAGATAACTTCTGTCTGTATGTGTAGTAAATGTGTTCCGATCAGGGTTTTTGAGACCGATCACTGGATCTATTTAAAGCCTTATGTCTAACAATGTAATGTAGCTTTATTTATTTATTATTATTTACTATTCTTAACAACATTGTATAAATTAAGTACTAAAATTCATTAGCTATTAAATGATGAATTGACAACTGTGCATTCATTGGCAGGCAACATGTCCATCATGAAAGTTAAACTGCAGCCTGTTGTTGGTCTCATTACCGTCCATTAACGATGCAGTGTGTGTTCCTGTGTGTGTATCCCGGTACAGTGTGTGTTCCTGTGTGTGTACCGGTACAGTGAGAGGAGCTGCTGGCTGAAGGAACAATGGGAAACCAGACTTCGGCTCCAACGTCACAGAGCGGTAAGATTGTTTCTTATTGTTTATCACTGATTGATAGCCAAGCGTAAAGCGTAATGGCAGCACCAACCCCGCCCATCCTATGGTCGTTAAAACATCATGTGATGGGAAGTCTTTCTGTCCATTTGTTGTTTTTTTAAAATATATTTTAACAGTGTAGAAATAATATTAAGTTTTGTTGAACTTGCAACTAGGGATGTTCTTTCAGCCCCCGATCCGAATCATTCAATGTTGTTTGGAATTTAAGAACTTCTTCCCCCTCTGACAGTTTTCCAGAAGCCACAGTTCAGTTCTTCCTCCTTCAAACTAAATGTTTTCTAATTTGTTATATTTTTGGGAAAGCACATGTTACCTATGACGGAAATAGTCTATAATATGATGAATGCCGTTTCTTTCTGTGACGAGAATCTTAAACAGAGAGTTTGATATTTGTGCAATGAACCTGACGCAGAGACTTTCTACTCAAGTCACATATTAACATGTCCTAGCATAACATTACCGTCCTAGCTCTGCAGGTCAAGGAAGGTACAACAAATATTCAAATATTCCTGGTTCCTGATCATTTAGTTTTTTCCCAATCAGCTGAAACTCAGAGGGAAGCAGGAAGCTCGACAGTCAGTGCCCACAGCGGAAGTGTGATCAACACACCTCAGCTCTCTGGTGTTAATGTGGGAGGGAATATAAACATCAACACATACGGTAAATATACTTCATGTTTAATTACGTGTTAATGAAATGTCTTTCATAATTTTGCATTTCTTAAGAGATGTTTCTGTTTCAGTCCAACCTCCTGCCAGCACAGAACAGACTCAGCACATTTCTCCCACAACCGAAGGTATTGTACTGTTTAAACATAAAGATACAACTTGCGTTAAATTGATTGATTTATGATAAAATATTTACCTTCTGCTATTATATATAAACATAACTATATAACAAAATATTATGTAGGTGGTATGGAGAGGACAAGTTCATTACCACCAACACTTTTCAGATAAGCATAATTTTATAAGATAAACAAAAATCATTTGTGTTAACTCATGTGTGCTCCATCAGTACCAGGTGCTATTTTGTACAAATGTGAAACGACTTCGGTATAATTTGACTCTGAACGGACGGGGTGCTTTATTACTGTAGTGGAAGTGACTTCTGACAGTTCAACCTGATTTACCTCTATATTGAAAAACTCTACTTCAGGATGAGTTAAAATACTAAATCATTTGTCAAATGATCATAAATAAGACACTTAAAACAATAAACACAACAGTATGACAGATCAACGCCATTTTCAGCAGTTTTGGTGTTGTGTGCTGTTCGTACTGACGGACTCACAAGGGCGTTATGTTTGTACTACGTTACTTTTGGTTCTTTGGTTCGTCTGTATGTCTAAAAGCCTTGCATACATACATACAGTGTGATCTAACTTGGAAGAGTATGAGAAAATAAATGATAATAGATGATGTAACTGATTTTATTCTTCTTTCAGAAAACATCCAAAAGTGCCAAGCTGATCTCAAATCTTACCTCAAATCTCAAACTAAGAATCTGCTTCAAGGAACAGAGGAAGATGGATCCCAGACTCAATTAAACAAGAGCTATACGGAGCTTTACATCACAGAGGGAGGCAGTGGGGAGGTTAATCATGAACACGAAGTGATTGAATTAGAATGTACAAGGAGTTCCAGTGAGGAGAAGAAAATCCACCTCAATGACATTTTTGAACCGTTAATAAAGGAAGACGATCCTCCACAGAGAGTTCTGACCAAGGGGATCGCTGGCATCGGAAAAACAGTCGCTGTGCAGAAATTCACCCATGACTGGGCAGTAGGAAAAGCCAACCAAACCATTGAGTTCATATTTCCGTTCACATTCAGAGAGTTGAACTTAATAAAAGATAAGGATTGGAGTCTTACAGAGTTAATAGCTTACTATTTTAAAGTGGGGGATTTAGAAGCCTCAGACTACAGCAACAAAAGTATCTTGTTCATCTTTGACGGTCTGGACGAAAGCAAACTGCCTCTGGACATTAAGAAAAATAAGATGTGCCACAGTGTTACTGACACCACAACATTAGACGTCCTACTAACCAACTTAATCACAGGGAAACTGCTGCACAAAGCCTCAGTCTGGATCACTAGTAGACCGGCTGCAGCCACTAAGATTCCTGCCAAGTTCATCGACAGGGTAACTGAGGTGCGAGGCTTTAACGACGAGCAGAAGGAGGAGTACTTTCAGAGAAATGTTAGTGACAAGGATGTGGCTCAGAAGATCTTTGATCATCTTCAGTCAAAGCCTCTGAGAAGTCTGTACATCATGTGCCACATCCCGGTCTTCTGTTGGATTTCAGCCACGGCTCTCCAGAGTCTCCTCACCAAAACTCAGAAAGGTGAGCTGCCCAAGACTGTGACTGAAATGTACACACACTTCCTGATCGTCCAGACAAAACGGAACAATGAAAAGGATTATCACGAAGGTGAAACAGACACAGATGTGATCATGAAGTTGGGAAAACTGGCATTTGAACAGCTACAGAAGGGCAATATAATCTTCTATGAAGATGATTTGAAAAGTTGTCAGATTGATCTGACGCAAGCTGCCGTTTATTCAGGGGTTTGCACACAGATCATAAGGAAAGAATTTGGCCTTCACAAACAAAACATTTATTCTTTTATACATTTAAGTATTCAGGAGTTTCTTGCAGCTCTGTATGTATTAGAGACGTTTATAGATAACGGAAAAAATCTGCTTTCCAAAGTGAAAGTGAAAGTTGTGTCAGACAAAGGAGAACTTCCCCTAATCCTCCTCCACAAGAGCGCAGTGGATATGGCTTTGGACAGCGATTATGGACAATGGGACTTGTTTGTGCGCTTCCTTCTCGGTTTGTCACAGGTTCAAAATCAGGAACTGCTTCAGAAATTCTTTCAATTTAAAGAAAGACCCCCACAGAGCAACAAGATGACAATCACCCGCATCCATGAGAAGATCAAGAAACTGTCCTACACTGACAAAAGTATCAACCTGTTCCACTGTTTAAATGAGTTGGGGGACCAGTCTCTGGTTGAGCAAGTCCAAAAGTACCAGAGCTCAGGAGATGTCAGTAAAATCTCACCTGCACATTGGTCCGCTCTGGCCTATCTACTGCTGGTTTCAACTGATGACCTGGATGTGTTTGACCTGCAGAAATACCACAAATCAGAAGAAGTTCTGAAGAGGCTGCTGCCTGTGCTCAGAGTAGCAAAGACAGCTTTGTAAGTATTGGTCCTGAAGAAACCCAACTGCTCTGAAGCTCTGTTTAAGAGAAAAGTGTGTGTAGATGTTAACATTTGCTCTTCACTTTAGGCTAAGTGACTGCAACCTTGTGGACAGTTGTTGCCACAATATCTCGTCAGTTCTCAGCTTTAAGTCTTCTCGTCTAGAGGAGTTAGACCTGAGCAAAAATAATCTGCAGGACTATGGAATGACGCTGCTATCTGATGGTCTAAAAAGTCCAAACTGCAAACTGCAGAGACTCTGGTAAGTAATGTACAGGCCTTGCAGTTCATGGGGCAGTATTTTATAGATGCACAGTATCAGTAATAATAAACGGTGGAACACTTAGCACTTGGCACCAGCCGAGCATAGCTGGCCGCCCTCTACTGGTTCAAACTGACTTTTGCAATTGAATTTAGCTATTGGCTGATCTGGGGTGACGTACTGTATGTGGTGGCAGATTTCGTTACCAACCAACTCCTGCTTCTGTAAAACCAATATCTCCACTGTGCAGACTGTGGCTAGTGTAACACTCTGCCACAGACACCGGAGAGTTACGGCTTGTTCACCCAGCCTCCGTCTGCGTGGTGGAACATCTCGATTTTTATTTCAGAGCCCATGTTAACAGATTAGAGACTGAGATCATAAACTCATCAGGAAACTGTTTACTGAGCTCATCAAGAGAATGCTTGTTTAAGAAACTTAATATCTGGAAGCTCTGTCCACTAATGACTTATTTTGTTTTGTTTTTGTGTAGTTTACAGGACTGTGGCATTACAAAAAAAGGATGTCAAGCTTTGGCCAGTGGTCTGGCTTCAAACTCCTCCCACCTGAGAGAGCTGGATCTCAGCAACAATAGATTTCTTGATGAAGGACTGGAGCTACTTTCAAGAGCTCTCAACCAATGCACATTGGAAACACTGAGGTAAACCCAACATGGGATTTATTTGTTCTTAGAGTAGCCATTAAACTCTAAAGGGTTCATCCTCTAGAGAGGTATATGCCACTAAGATTCCTGTGTACAAGTGGAAATTCTGTACTCTACAGAGTTCAGCTCCAGGTGTCTTTCCCGTCTGCAGGTTATGTGAGTGTGGCCTCAAAGGAGAACCTCCAGCTTCAGCTCTCAACTTGAACCCATCTCAGCTGAAAAACCTAGATCTGAGCAGGAACCATTTTACAGAACAGGCAATCACTCAGCTCTGTAGCTTTCTGAAGCATCCTGACTGCCAGCTGGAGAAATTAGGGTAAGCTTCGGAAAAGAGTAATGGCAAATGGACTGTACTTGGATATTGCCTTTCTAGTCTTCTGACCACTGACCACACACATTCACCCATTCACACAAATTCATACACCCGGCAGTCTGGGGTTCAAATTTCTCTGTTGTTAGTGACAGTAAAACAACGTCTCTTCACTTGTGGGAGTGGGATCAAACATTAAAACAGTCCTGACCAGGGCTCTATTTAGAACCTCCTGTTAGTTACACCAGCATGGAGCTCATTGTCGGCAGGTGAAAAAGACAGGGTTCCCACGGTCATGGAAAACCTGGAAAAGTCATGGAATTTTAAAATAAAAATTTCCAGGCCTGGAAAAGTCATGGAATTGGTAAAATTCTTTAAAGTTTTGGAAAAGTTATGGAATTTTGTTTTGTGAAATGAAATTAATTGTTACAGTGGATAACCTTCCACGTAATGTAACATAACGGCAGGAACGGTAGGATTTGCCGTTAGCGGTTTGTAAACAGAGAGCTCGGTTGCCAGGCAGCAGAACACAGCCCAGTGTACCACCTGCAGCATCACATACCGACAAATGACTAACTACCTGCAGGAAAATGAGTGATGATGTATCTGTATCTGTATGTTGAACAGGTGTATTGATAAAGTATTGGCTTTTTACTTGCGAAGGTTTTATTGCACTTGCAGTAAAGAGCGTAGTTGGAGGAGCTCCTCTCCTCTGCTCTCAGGGTCGGGGCTGTCATGGACACAGAGCAGCACAGAGAGGCTGCAGATGATAATTAAAATTACACCAAAACGTTAAAAAAAAAAAAAGTACACATAAGCTTATAAGTGATAATTGAGAGGGATTTTTCTAGTCTATACATTGTTTTTTAGGAAAACCCTACTCTTGCCTTTAACGTAGCTCTAATATGCGGCGACACGTGACTAGATGACAACTGCACGTCATGTCACGTTTCTTTCTTTCTCCATGCATTCTGTTTCTCCCTCCACGTATGCTAGCTAGCTGATATGATGTTTGAATAATGCCGGGAAAGTGTGCATTTAATATTTCATGGCTCTCTAAAGACCGATACAAACTTTGGTTAGAAACCGAACAAGAGAATGACCAACATGCGAGATGTAAGCTTTGCAAAAAGAGCTTTGATGTTAGCAATATGGGGGAGGCAGCCCTCACAAGTCATGCTAAGGGAACGAAACACATCCAACACGAGAAGACCGCGAGAGATGGCCTACCAATCCAGGCGTTTTTCAACTCGACGAAAACCACGGCAAGACCAGCAAGTGGACCGGGGTCTGTCTCCAACATGAGCGTGGTTGCTACAGCTAAGCAAAGCACTTTAAATGTAATACCAGCACCCACTGCTACCGCGGCTTCGGCCGCAGAGATACTTTGGGCGGATTCGCATTATTCATACAATTCCTGCAGCAATGTCGGGGGCCTATTTTCGAGAATGTTCCCAGACAGTGAGATCGCTAGACAGTTTAGATGTGGGAGCACCAAAGCCGCCTATCTCAACACATTCGGTGTTGCACCCTACTTCAAATCTCTCCTCGTTAGAGAGATATCAAGACAAATTGGATATGTGATGCTATTTGATGAGTCACTGAACCATGAATTGCAACGGAAACAGATGGACTTGCACGTTTGCATTTGGGATGGTGGAAAGGTGCGGACGCGGTATGTTGGCTCTGAATTTTTTGGCCATGCAACTGCACGTGATGTTGTTGACAAAATGATTCCTGTTCTTGAAGGCATTGGAGTGAAAAATCTTGTTCAACTGTCGATGGACGGTCCTCATGTCAATTGGAAAATATTTGACATGCTACAGAAAGAAGTTCTCGGTGATGTTAACAAATCCCTGCTCAATATTGGATCATGTGGATTACACGTTATACATAATGCATTCCGGGATGGGTGCAAAGCAAGTGGCTGGGACATTAAACATGCTCTTTCTAGCCTGTACTGGCTTTTCAAAGACAGTCCTGCCCGTAGAGAGGACTACACTAAGGTCACAGGCAGTGACACCTTTATGCTGAAATTTTGCAGCATCGTTGGATTGAGAACATCGACGTCTGCACCCGAGCACTTCTCATATGGCCACATGTGCAGACATATGTTGAAGCGGTTGCTCGAAAAGATTTCCCAGAGCCCAAATGCAAGTCATATCAAGAAGTAAAGAAAAGTGTATCTGATCCACTCTTCCCTATGTGGGTAGCAGTGTATGAAAGCATTGCGAAGCAGGTCACTCCATTCTTGACAGCCTACCAAACGGATAGACCCATGCTTCCCTTCATGACGGACGACATGTTCAAGTTACTCAAAGGTAAGTCCATTTTTATGGACTTAGATCAGTCTCAATATTAATGAATGCACACAGGATTCACAAATGTATTTTGGGATTTATATATAAATGTGTCTCTAAACAAAAATATTATTTAATGCACAAAAATAGAAATACACATAAAAAAAATAAGGTTCACATATGTATTTCTGATGCACACAGTGTTTTAAATAAATGTAGTAGAAATCCACAAATATATGTATGTAAAAGTATTTGCAATTTTCATCAAAAACATATTTGGATGTTACATTTATATACCAACTGTTGAACCTGCATTTACAGAGTGCTTGTCATGTGTGAACTTCATTGCGTTTATGTGTGGGTTTTTTGAGACTCCCCTGACTTGGCTCACTCATAAATGCATTGTTTTCAACAGGGAATTATCTGGAGCCAATCAGATGGCTCCTTCCCTTTCAGCTTAGATTTGAGGATATCATTTAATGGGACTTAACATCTCAAAAAACCCACACACAAATGCAGTGAAGTTCACACATGACAAGCAGTCTGTAAATGCAGGTTCAACGGTTTGTGTATTAATGTAACAACATCCAAATATGTTTTTGATGAAAATTGGAAATACTTTTAAATACATATATTTGTGGATTTCTACTAAATTTATTTAAAACAAGAAATATTTGTGTGCATCTGAAATACATTTGTATATGTATTTGGATTTCTTTTACATTTATATACTGTACAACGATAAATATTTTTGTGTGAAAAATATTTATGTGCAAAGAGTCATTTGTATATAAATCCCCAAAATACATTTGTGAATCCTTCTGTGTGCATTCATTAATATTGAGACTGATCTGACATCATTAATTTTCAGTGTGAACAATTTGAGTGAATTTTGTAGGGTAGGGTCATAGGGTCTTTGTCCTTGTTTTGTCTTTGTTATAAGGGCATATGGAGTGGTTTATGAAGGACAAGGTCCTGAAACAAGCCACCAACATGCAGAAGCTTCTCCTGATCAACACGGCTGATTGTTTCCTCCACAAGAATGCTACCAAAGTCGACGTTGGATTTGTGGCAGAAACGTCCATCAGACAGCTCAAAAGCAAAAGCAAAACCACAGAGAGGCAGGTGCTAGACATGGAGACCAAGGCCTTTCTTACAACTCTCCTTGCAAAACTCCTACTTAAGGCTCCAGTGAACCACCTGCTGGTAAGAAATATGCAGTGTCTTGACCCTAGGCTGATGGTTTCCAAGAAGGAACTGTGTGTGGAGAAGATGAAAGGAGTCCTTCATACCCTGGTTGCTGCTAGCCAAGTGAGTGCATCAATTTGTGACAAAGTGTTACAAGAATTCAGAGAATTCCTTGATGTTGCAGCAGCCTCTCCTGCTTTTGCTAATTTTGAACCCAAGTCTGACCATCTTGACGTGCTGCTCCACAAGACCATTGCACCTCAGTCTGGATGGAGAAGTCTTTGGGATGTGATCCAAATTATCTTGGTCATGTCCAATGGACAAGCCAGTGTGGAGTGAGGGTTTTCAGTGAACAAGCAAGTCATGGTGGAGAATATGAAGGAAGAGTCAGTAGTTGCACAGCGGGTCATTGTTGATAGCATCAGGGCTGCTGGTGGCATTGAGAAAGTCGCCATCACCAAGGAGCTTCAGATGTCTACTTCCTGCCCTAGACAAAGGTATGTTGCATACCTTGATGACAAGAAAAAAGAAAAACAAAGCAAATCCAATGCTGACAAAAGGAAGAGCTTGGCAGATGAACTTCAGGAACTGAAGCAAAAAAGAAAACAACTTGAGTCAGACATTCAACAACTTCAGTGGTCTGCTGATGAATTTGCAGAGAAGGCAGAGGCGACACGAAATATGACATTTATTGTTGAGTCAAATAGCCTGCGGCACTCAGCAAAAATCAAGAGAGCAAGCCTGTCAGATTTAGGTAAGGACATTGAAGAGAAATTTAAAAAAATGAAGGAGTAGACATGGGTGATGAGTTCAAACAAACCATGATGGTATATTTTGTTGAAACCCTTTTTTGAGTTGACAATGCATTAAGAATACATTTATCTGATGTTTGAAAGAAATTTTAAGAAATATTATTATATAAGTCTGAGATTAAGCCTCTGTGTTGCCACATTGTTTTTCAGACTTGCATTCAGAAATTAGTTGATAATCAAATGCATTAAGAATACAGTCATAGTACGATCATTTCTGTTTTCCCTCATGCTTGAAAGCCAGTGCCAGATTGATGAAAGTGCTTGTAAAGCTTTTTTTTTTTTTTTAATAAAGGACAATGCATTGACTCTGTGTGAAGTTTGAAGTATTTGAAGTGAATATGAACATAACCAACTATTAGAGATTGAAAAAGGTTTACTGTTCCGTTTTCATACAATAATTAACAGTTGGAGTAAAGTATACTATGCAGTTCTGTTCGTGTACTTATATAGGTTGTGAATGGTCATGGAAATTTTATTATGGGTCCTTGAAAAGTCATGGAAAAGTTTTGAAATTTTGTCCATGAAAATGTGTGGGAACCCTGAAAAGAGAAAAACAAATTGTCTCTACTTTCTTTGTGTTTTCATAAAGGCTTTTTAAGACAAACCTACAAACGGAAAGTGTTGACGCTCTGGCCTCAGCTCTGGCTTCAAACCCTTCCCAGCTGAGGGAACTGGATCTTGGGGGGAACTCCCTGGGTGATGGTGGAGTGATGAAGATCGCTGCTCTGCTCAAGGATCCAAACTGTAAAGTGGATAAACTGAGGTGAGACAGTCCTCAAACTTGTGGTGAGACACCAGATGCATGCTATTAAATGTTCTGTGATGCTAAGTTAGTCTAAACCTCAGGTAACCAATCAGATAACCAGCCATGACTGCGGTAGAGGGATGTTCAGATCACCTCAAAGTTTCTGTCGGACTTTGTTGGTGGATCCCAGTTTTAAAAAATATAGGAGGATGTGTTCCAGTTTCAGTGACTATCCAGTGTCCAATGTGCTTCAAAGACAGAGAGGGCTTGTAACTGTGTCCCTTCTATAATTTCCCTTCGGGGATAAACAAAGTATTTCTATCTATATCTTAGGGTCAGGATTTCCAAATTGGGGGCTGTCAGGGAAACTGAGGTCACAAAAACTAAATCAAACATATTTTATTGTTTATCTGGAATATGAGATCATGTGACCAGGTGAGCTGCCATTGTTTCCTGCTATGGACGACTCAAAACTGAGCAACCAATGAGGGCAGCTCAACTCGCAGTAGGGCTTTGACTCCGAACTCCGTTATTCAAATATAATTTGAATATTTACAAAAATAAGCCTTATATATATAAGCCCTTAATATTCAAACCTGTTATGGGCATTAGTTTTTGTAAATGTGTTTGCTTGTAAACGTTTTCAATTCAGATTCCGAGGCTTTTTCACGCCTGGTGAAGTTGTGAATCGCGAGCTCATTAGCAAGGCTATTATTGGTCATCTGGGCTCCTGTAGGTGACTTTAGCGTCCTGGTTAGCGCCTATTTTGATATTTTGTATACCAGAACAATGGCCGCGCCAACGCCTACAACAACTACGCCTGAGGAGTTCGAAATCTACACTCCAGACCATCTGAAAAGCAACGTGTGGCGCTACTTTGGGGTCTGTCTCCTACTTTGGGGTCTGTTCCTCCCAAAGGAACAGGGAAAAATCGCGACTAAGGACAAAGTGATATGTAAAATATGTAGGACCAAACTCACATACCACGCGACGACCAGCAACTTGAGAGCCCACCTGTCAACACTACATCCCGGCAAGCTGGAAGAGGAGGAGGGGGATGGATCGGGGGTGAGGCAGGCCAGAATCGACTCCATGCTATCTCCTTCACGAAGCCTCCCCTATGCCCGTCAAAATAGAGCGACAGATTTGCTGACATGGTTTGTTTGCGAAGATATGAGGCCCATTAACGTGATATATGGGAGCGGGTTTCAAGCTTTCGTCCACGAACTAGAGCCAAGATTCAAGATACTCGGCTACAGGACCATGAATGGTAAAATAACGAAGCTGTACGACACAACCAAAGGTGGCATAAGGGAAATGTTGCGTGGAGAAAAACTCGCACTGACCACTGGTGAGGGTTTTCAGTGAACAAGCAAGTCATGGTGGAGAATATGAAGGAAGAGTCAGTAGTTGCACAGCGGGTCATTGTTGATAGCATCAGGGCTGCTGGTGGCATTGAGAAAGTCGCCATCACCAAGGAGCTTCAGATGTCTACTTCCTGCCCTAGACAAAGGTATGTTGCATACCTTGATGACAAGAAAAAAGAAAAACAAAGCAAATCCAATGCTGACAAAAGGAAGAGCTTGGCAGATGAACTTCAGGAACTGAAGCAAAAAGAAAACAACTTGAGTCAGACATTCAACAACTTCAGTGGTCTGCTGATGAATTTGCAGAGAAGGCAGAGGCGACACGAAATATGACATTTATTGTTAAGTCAAATAGCCTGCGGCACTCAGCAAAAATCAAGAGAGCAAGCCTGTCAGATTTAGGTAAGGACATTGAAGAGAAATTTAAAAAAATGAAGGAGTAGACATGGGTGATGAGTTCAAACAAACCATGATGGTATATTTTGTTGAAACCCTTTTTTGAGTTGACAATGCATTAAGAATACATTTATCTGATGTTTGAAAGAAATTTTAAGAAATATTATTATATAAGTCTGAGATTAAGCCTCTGTGTTGCCACATTGTTTTTCAGACTTGCATTCAGAAATTAGTTGATAATCAAATGCATTAAGAATACAGTCATAGTACGATCATTTCTGTTTTCCCTCATGCTTGAAAGCCAGTGCCAGATTGATGAAAGTGCTTGTAAAGCTTTTTTTTTTTTTTTAATAAAGGACAATGCATTGACTCTGTGTGAAGTTTGAAGTATTTGAAGTGAATATGAACATAACCAACTATTAGAGATTGAAAAAGGTTTACTGTTCCGTTTTCATACAATAATTAACAGTTGGAGTAAAGTATACTATGCAGTTCTGTTCGTGTACTTATATAGGTTGTGAATGGTCATGGAAATTTTATTATGGGTCCTTGAAAAGTCATGGAAAAGTTTTGAAATTTTGTCCATGAAAATGTGTGGGAACCCTGAAAAGAGAAAAACAAATTGTCTCTACTTTCTTTGTGTTTTCATAAAGGCTTTTTAAGACAAACCTACAAACGGAAAGTGTTGACGCTCTGGCCTCAGCTCTGGCTTCAAACCCTTCCCAGCTGAGGGAACTGGATCTTGGGGGGAACTCCCTGGGTGATGGTGGAGTGATGAAGATCGCTGCTCTGCTCAAGGATCCAAACTGTAAAGTGGATAAACTGAGGTGAGACAGTCCTCAAACTTGTGGTGAGACACCAGATGCATGCTATTAAATGTTCTGTGATGCTAAGTTAGTCTAAACCTCAGGTAACCAATCAGATAACCAGCCATGACTGCGGTAGAGGGATGTTCAGATCACCTCAAAGTTTCTGTCGGACTTTGTTGGTGGATCCCAGTTTTAAAAAATATAGGAGGATGTGTTCCAGTTTCAGTGACTATCCAGTGTCCAATGTGCTTCAAAGACAGAGAGGGCTTGTAACTGTGTCCCTTCTATAATTTCCCTTCGGGGATAAACAAAGTATTTCTATCTATATCTTAGGGTCAGGATTTCCAAATTGGGGGCTGTCAGGGAAACTGAGGTCACAAAAACTAAATCAAACATATTTTATTGTTTATCTGGAATATGAGATCATGTGACCAGGTGAGCTGCCATTGTTTCCTGCTATGGACGACTCAAAACTGAGCAACCAATGAGGGCAGCTCAACTCGCAGTAGGGCTTTGACTCCGAACTCCGTTATTCAAATATAATTTGAATATTTACAAAAATAAGCCTTATATATATAAGCCCTTAATATTCAAACCTGTTATGGGCATTAGTTTTTGTAAATGTGTTTGCTTGTAAACGTTTTCAATTCAGATTCCGAGGCTTTTTCACGCCTGGTGAAGTTGTGAATCGCGAGCTCATTAGCAAGGCTATTATTGGTCATCTGGGCTCCTGTAGGTGACTTTAGCGTCCTGGTTAGCGCCTATTTTGATATTTTGTATACCAGAACAATGGCCGCGCCAACGCCTACAACAACTACGCCTGAGGAGTTCGAAATCTACACTCCAGACCATCTGAAAAGCAACGTGTGGCGCTACTTTGGGGTCTGTCTCCTACTTTGGGGTCTGTTCCTCCCAAAGGAACAGGGAAAAATCGCGACTAAGGACAAAGTGATATGTAAAATATGTAGGACCAAACTCACATACCACGCGACGACCAGCAACTTGAGAGCCCACCTGTCAACACTACATCCCGGCAAGCTGGAAGAGGAGGAGGGGGGATGGATCGGGGGTGAGGCAGGCCAGAATCGACTCCATGCTATCTCCTTCACGAAGCCTCCCCTATGCCCGTCAAAATAGAGCGACAGATTTGCTGACATGGTTTGTTTGCGAAGATATGAGGCCCATTAACGTGATATATGGGAGCGGGTTTCAAGCTTTCGTCCACGAACTAGAGCCAAGATTCAAGATACTCGGCTACAGGACCATGAATGGTAAAATAACGAAGCTGTACGACACAACCAAAGGTGGCATAAGGGAAATGTTGCGTGGAGAAAAACTCGCACTGACCACTGGTGAGGGTTTTCAGTGAACAAGCAAGTCATGGTGGAGAATATGAAGGAAGAGTCAGTAGTTGCACAGCGGGTCATTGTTGATAGCATCAGGGCTGCTGGTGGCATTGAGAAAGTCGCCATCACCAAGGAGCTTCAGATGTCTACTTCCTGCCCTAGACAAAGGTATGTTGCATACCTTGATGACAAGAAAAAAGAAAAACAAAGCAAATCCAATGCTGACAAAAGGAAGAGCTTGGCAGATGAACTTCAGGAACTGAAGCAAAAAAGAAAACAACTTGAGTCAGACATTCAACAACTTCAGTGGTCTGCTGATGAATTTGCAGAGAAGGCAGAGGCGACACGAAATATGACATTTATTGTTAAGTCAAATAGCCTGCGGCACTCAGCAAAAATCAAGAGAGCAAGCCTGTCAGATTTAGGTAAGGACATTGAAGAGAAATTTAAAAAAATGAAGGAGTAGACATGGGTGATGAGTTCAAACAAACCATGATGGTATATTTTGTTGAAACCCTTTTTTGAGTTGACAATGCATTAAGAATACATTTATCTGATGTTTGAAAGAAATTTTAAGAAATATTATTATATAAGTCTGAGATTAAGCCTCTGTGTTGCCACATTGTTTTTCAGACTTGCATTCAGAAATTAGTTGATAATCAAATGCATTAAGAATACAGTCATAGTACGATCATTTCTGTTTTCCCTCATGCTTGAAAGCCAGTGCCAGATTGATGAAAGTGCTTGTAAAGCTTTTTTTTTTTTTTTTTAATAAAGGACAATGCATTGACTCTGTGTGAAGTTTGAAGTATTTGAAGTGAATATGAACATAACCAACTATTAGAGATTGAAAAAGGTTTACTGTTCCGTTTTCATACAATAATTAACAGTTGGAGTAAAGTATACTATGCAGTTCTGTTCGTGTACTTATATAGGTTGTGAATGGTCATGGAAATTTTATTATGGGTCCTTGAAAAGTCATGGAAAAGTTTTGAAATTTTGTCCATGAAAATGTGTGGGAACCCTGAAAAGAGAAAAACAAATTGTCTCTACTTTCTTTGTGTTTTCATAAAGGCTTTTTAAGACAAACCTACAAACGGAAAGTGTTGACGCTCTGGCCTCAGCTCTGGCTTCAAACCCTTCCCAGCTGAGGGAACTGGATCTTGGGGGGGAACTCCCTGGGTGATGGTGGAGTGATGAAGATCGCTGCTCTGCTCAAGGATCCAAACTGTAAAGTGGATAAACTGAGGTGAGACAGTCCTCAAACTTGTGGTGAGACACCAGATGCATGCTATTAAATGTTCTGTGATGCTAAGTTAGTCTAAACCTCAGGTAACCAATCAGATAACCAGCCATGACTGCGGTAGAGGGATGTTCAGATCACCTCAAAGTTTCTGTCGGACTTTGTTGGTGGATCCCAGTTTTAAAAAATATAGGAGGATGTGTTCCAGTTTCAGTGACTATCCAGTGTCCAATGTGCTTCAAAGACAGAGAGGGCTTGTAACTGTGTCCCTTCTATAATTTCCCTTCGGGGATAAACAAAGTATTTCTATCTATATCTTAGGGTCAGGATTTCCAAATTGGGGGCTGTCAGGGAAACTGAGGTCACAAAAACTAAATCAAACATATTTTATTGTTTATCTGGAATATGAGATCATGTGACCAGGTGAGCTGCCATTGTTTCCTGCTATGGACGACTCAAAACTGAGCAACCAATGAGGGCAGCTCAACTCGCAGTAGGGCTTTGACTCCGAACTCCGTTATTCAAATATAATTTGAATATTTACAAAAATAAGCCTTATATATATAAGCCCTTAATATTCAAACCTGTTATGGGCATTAGTTTTTGTAAATGTGTTTGCTTGTAAACGTTTTCAATTCAGATTCCGAGGCTTTTTCACGCCTGGTGAAGTTGTGAATCGCGAGCTCATTAGCAAGGCTATTATTGGTCATCTGGGCTCCTGTAGGTGACTTTAGCGTCCTGGTTAGCGCCTATTTTGATATTTTGTATACCAGAACAATGGCCGCGCCAACGCCTACAACAACTACGCCTGAGGAGTTCGAAATCTACACTCCAGACCATCTGAAAAGCAACGTGTGGCGCTACTTTGGGGTCTGTCTCCTACTTTGGGGTCTGTTCCTCCCAAAGGAACAGGGAAAAATCGCGACTAAGGACAAAGTGATATGTAAAATATGTAGGACCAAACTCACATACCACGCGACGACCAGCAACTTGAGAGCCCACCTGTCAACACTACATCCCGGCAAGCTGGAAGAGGAGGAGGGGGATGGATCGGGGGTGAGGCAGGCCAGAATCGACTCCATGCTATCTCCTTCACGAAGCCTCCCCTATGCCCGTCAAAATAGAGCGACAGATTTGCTGACATGGTTTGTTTGCGAAGATATGAGGCCCATTAACGTGATATATGGGAGCGGGTTTCAAGCTTTCGTCCACGAACTAGAGCCAAGATTCAAGATACTCGGCTACAGGACCATGAATGGTAAAATAACGAAGCTGTACGACACAACCAAAGGTGGCATAAGGGAAATGTTGCGTGGAGAAAAACTCGCACTGACCACTGATGGGTGGAGTTCTTTGGCTACTGAGTCCTATGTTACGGTCACAGCCCATTTCATCGACGAGGACTGGGAGATAAGAAATGTCGTCCTGGACACGTCTGAGCTTCTACCGCTCACACAGCAGCGAATGTCTCCACATACATCGACAGTATTCTACAAGAGTACCACATTGAGCGGGAGTCTGTGCTTGCCATCACAACAGACAATGCGACCAACTATGTCAATGCTGTAGAGAGGTACTTGGGGATCATGGATATCCGATGCATGGCTCACACAATTAACTTGGCAGCGAGAAAAGGGCTTGCAGAGCGTTCCTTTGCAACAACAGTCAGTCGCCTGAAGGCTGCTGCTCAGCATTTCAAGCACTCCCCTACAGACAGCTACCTCCTTGAGTCCAAGCAGAAACTCCTTGGTCTCAAACCAGTCCAGCTCATCAACGACTGCCCCACCCACTGGAACAGTACATACAATATGATCTGTCGGGCAGCTGATCAACAAGCTGCTGTTGCAGCGGTGATAATGGAGAAGAAACTCGCCGTCTGGAGAGGAAGGCCAGGAGGAGAACGCCACGACTACGGAGACACAGCAGCGCAAGGAAAAGAATGCTCTTAGCGCGATGTGGGACCTCTTTGGTGATGTGTACTGCCAAAACTCGGCAGGAGGTAATAATGATGATATTATTATCAATAATAAATAATACAAAAACGTTTAAATAATCGAGTGCCTTTCATAACAACTCAAACTCACTATATAGCCCTACATTGGAAATATAAAAAAGTGCATTATAAAGCATAGCCTAAACAACACATTAACAAAAACGAATTTATTTTTTAACAGTCAAACTGAATGAATATGTGCTCCAAAGAGAAATGATGGCCTATGACAGTGAGGCCCCACCCCCGTCTGACAGCAACCCGCTGTCCTGGTGGAAGGAGAGAAGCCTCAAGTACCCCCATCTCGCCCAGCTGGCATGCGGCTACCTGGCAATATGGGGGACATCTGTGAGGGCGGAACAAGTGTTTTCCACCGCGGGGAACATAGTCACAAAGCAACGCTCTTCTCTAGAGCCAGAAAATGTGAATCACCTTGTCTTTTTGGCTAACAACCTAAAAAAGTCTGCAGCCAGATAAACTGCAGCCAGCCAGATAGCCCCCAATGGCGAGTTCTAATTTAGCCTAGGCTAGGCCTACATGGTTGATTGTTGGGGATATAGCCCTGCATCTCGAAGTGTTCTAATCTACATGATTGATGGGGACTGGGGAGGGGAATGCATCCCGAGTGTTCGATTTACATCTCAAAGTGCCTTGTTCTTGGTAATTGCTGTCAGATTGCTAATCGCTGGTAGGATGTGCTTGTTTTGAATAGGTCTACCAAATAGGGCCTACCTTTATTTATTTTGTCTTTTCAGTACTTAGCCTGACTTTCTTATTTTTATTTATTTTTGATAAGAACAGTGGATAAAACCCAGGTCTGACTTTTAATTAAAAAAAAAAACCTGTGATTGTGTTTTTCTTCTGAAAACATCATTGCCTGCCTATTGACATTGACTGATACACTGCCCTCTGGTGGACAGAACATATACATCTTAAGTTTGACACCAATGTAGGTCTTACTGAAGGCATTTAATGGTCAAAATATTATTAATAAATATTAGAATATATTTTAATATTAATATTAATAAACAAACAAACTTCGAATATGATTTTTGGCCAAAAGTCAAAGCCCTAACTCGCAGTACGTTGCGACAAACCTAAAGACTTAAGGCTTCAGGACGGTACTCCACAAAGCAATGGATGACGTCACGATAGGTTGACACTGGGTCAGAGGTCAGGGTCTGGAGCTGCCACTGCTTGTTACAACCTGTAAGTTCAAACTGTTTTCCCCAACAGACTGGTCGGCTGTCAGTTTACACACAATGGCTGTGCTGTGCTGGCCTCCAGTCTGAAGTCAAACCCCGGACACCTGAGAGTCCTGGATCTGACAAGAAATGTCCTCCAAGACGTTGGTGTCGAAAACCTTTCTGAGTTCCTGGCAGAGCCACTTTGTCAGCTGGAGACACTTAAGTGAGTATTATAGCTATGTTCACATTTTGAATAAAAGACACATCTGCCACACATCTAGAAGCGTTTTTTAACATCAACATTGAATAATAATTTAAGTTTATAGTTTACACCTGATAATAATAATGAAAAGTCCTTTGTAACCCTTTTGAGATCTCAAACTCAGTTATAATGTACCCCTATTTAATTTCAATTTCTTTGTGTTTTTATATAAAATCCAATCATTGTGTCTTCCTGTAAAACTAAATGTGAAGCGTGCTTACGTCAGCATGAACTAACTGATTTCAACCAATAATATCCTGACATTCACCCGTCAATCAATCTGCAACTTTTAGCCACACAGATCGAAGATTCATTAATTAGCTAGCTAGCTAACAGCATGGCTAGCTCTGCCTCAACTCCGCTAACTGGTAACGGCAGCTACCGATAGCTAACTGCTAATGTAGCTGCTGTTAGCGTTAGCAACTGAACGGGGCTCAGCAGCCTCCCAGTGAACACAACCTCTGAGACAGACAGAGGACAGTTTAAAGACTGTGGTACCGAGGTGATTTATGGAGTTTCCTGATGGACTTGTTGCTAAAAGAAGCTAACTGTCACCAACTGTAATGGTAAATGCTGTTAGCTCATGCAGCTAATTTTAGCTGACTTAGTCCCAGGGTGGCAGAGGCCAAAACCGGCAATAAACCCACCTCAGTCCTTTATTTCCTGCAGTCAAACTGTCCTCCGTCAGCCTCCTGTTGTTCACTGGGAGCTCCCAGTCCAACAGAGTCCGCTAATGGATCCACTACAGCTGTTGGACTGGGGGGACGTAGCACACAGCGCTATAAGCTAGCGCTAACAGGTTGACGCCCAGAAACCTCAAGCACACAGCTAAATGAGACGTCTATGTTTGAATGAGTCAGTACAGTTGTTGAAAATCCTACCCAGAATGCCTTAATGTGTGTTTTTAACAAACTCCACCTAGGCAGAGAACGTCTAATAAGGGGAGAACTTCCACTCTCGGTCTACTTCCGGGTTCTGAACTGTTGCAGTTCCCCTCTGGCTCCATGTGAGGGCGCTCACAGGATGGGAGCAGAATGAATGGAGCTCTATGGAGCTATACCCTCAAAATCCACTTCTCTCAGGATATCATTGTTTGTCTAGTAATTTGAATGTTGGATTCGAAAGGGGACGCAAAGAAATTACACATTGCTGGGTGTTGGACCAGTGGACCTCTGCTGGAACTGCAACCAAAATTCGGTACAATGGGACTTAATAGAGAGTGGCCAGGCTCTCCGTAGACGGGCTCTGACCTATGGAACTTTTGGTCAGTTCACTCTAAATCAAGATTAAAAGTTGTGCTATTTGTGACAGTGTCCGCAGTGGGGCGGCCATATTTGACGTTTCGCCATGAAACAGGAAGTTGCCATTACTTCAGTGTTCTTTGACCAATCTGCACCAATGTCTGATAAAGTCCCGGATAACACGGTTATTTATACTCTTCCACAAAAACTCTGATCTGAACATTGTGTTTAAATGTCTTCCAGACTGAAATGCTGCATGTTAACAGCAGCCTGCTGTCGGTCTTTGACCTTTGCCCTCAGCTGCTCCTCTGCTCTCAAAGAGCTCGACCTGAGTTTCAACCACCTGACGGACCAGGGGCTGACTCTGCTTGCTGATTGGCTGAGGAAACCCCAGTGCAGACTGGAGATACTGAGGTGACTTTTATTCTTTTATATATCATTCTTTCTTCCCTCCGTATCAGTTCTGTAAACCAATTAATATAATGGATCTCTTATTTTAGATGATTTCAGTGTTAGACTGCAGCTGGTTGTTCAGACTCTTTACACTTTCTGTGCGGCTTCATCCAGGTCCTCAATCATTTGATCTTGTTGTCAGAAAAAAAAAAAAGAATTCCTTGCCTTTCAATAAGGCTATGCAGCAGTTGCAGCTCTTCTTTCCCTCTTTTTATTTTCAATCTGTTTCTCTTTGTTGTCTCTGATGTTTGTCCATTGCTCTGTGAGACCACTGGTACCCAACCCCTGACTAAGGGACATATTTTCAGTATAATTCATATTCTATTGATCAATATCAATAACCGTAGAGAACAGCGGAACCTCAATAACTCAATACCTGCAGGAGGTTTGAGTAAAACCAGAGATTATTAGATTAATTCCTGTGAATATTGATGTCTTGGCTGTGGTATTAAGACCCTGCTGTCTGTCTGACAGACTGCCGGGATGCACGGACAGCAGCTGTGAGTCTCTGGCCTCGGCTCTGACGTTGAATCCGTCCCACCTCCGAGAGCTGGAGCTGAGCCGGACTGATTCAGAAGGACCGGGTCTGGAACGGCTGTCTGGTCTACAGAGAAACAGTGGTTACAAGCTGCAGAAGCTGGTGGTGAAGAGCACCGTAGCAACACCCACAGACTGAACAGGTTAGCCCCGTCCGTCCGAGCTGCCACCAGGCTGGAGTGAAGGCGACCAACCACAGGATCTTATTTTAGGTTGTTTTTTTACATGTGGGATTTTAACTGATTTAAAACTGATAATCAATCCATCTGCAGACTGTGAACTCTTCTAATTGATCTGTATATGCAGGCTTATTTGGTAACCATAGTAACAAGTTAAGCAACATTGGCAGTCCTACACTGTAAAAAAAAGTATAATTTACAGTTAAAACTAGCAGCTGTGGGTGACAGAACTTTACTGTGATAAATATGGTTATCACGATAAAAGCATATTAGTACTGTTGATTTTACGGCTAAAGTTGGAGTTTTATTATTATATTTTGTAAGTTTTTACCATCAATTTGCCTCATGAAAATACTGTATAAATGCTGTGGTCTTCTGTGTCATTTACAGTCTGTAATATAAAAAAAAAACATTATTATTAGATATTAATTCATTTAAGAGGCTGTATAAATAAAGGCAGTGAGATAGGAGGGTGTTTTACTGTTACATAAACTTAATTTAATCTATTTTGAGTTTACAGTTTTTTACTGTCATGATGTGACAGTGAAATCATGCAAGCCAGAAGTTGTTAGAGTATATCAGCAAGGTGGATCACTGTCCCCTGTTCTCTTCAGTCTGTATATGGATGATCTTATATATCGATGATGATATGAACAGCTAAAACCGTGTAAGACTGGAGGTACGGCGGGGGGTTGTATTATCAACTATCTGATATACGCTGATGATGAATTCTTCCCGTCTCCGTACAGCAACAAACTGAACTCTGATGAGGAGGAGAATCAAAGTTTTCCTTCATTCTTTATGTCAGAGCGAGAGTTAAATGTGGTGAACAGAGCGAGATATTGGGTTCACGTCATCAGGAACCATTTATGTGATGATGATGATAATGATGATGTAAAGTGTGACATTATGTTGGCGTGCTGATTTTAAACGTGTACAGATGATATCAAAGCAGCCCTTTATAGAGGCGACTGTACACGGCTCTATACTGCCCACCTGTGGTTCAGTTCAGATGTTTGTGACTGATAATTGAGTTCATTGTAACGCACACAGTGACACAAAGTTCTCGGTCTGTGGAAACACTGGAACAAACATCAGTATGTGTTTTAATGTGTTTGGACTAACTGCAATGATTTTATATCTCTGTGTTGTTTTTTGTTGTTTTTATGTTAATATGGATGCATGTGTCTGAAATAAAGTTCACTTGAACTATATTAGTATTTCAGCGTTTAGTTTTTGTACAAATTATAAAAATAAAAGGAAATAAAGGAATAAATTAGATAAATGTTATTAAAGTGAAAAAGAAACACTTTTAATAATACAGACTTTATTTCTTCTGCTCAGTGGCCTGATGAATACCTTATAATAATAAGGTATTTACGAGAGACGATTTGCTGCATCCCTCGTCTCCGTAGCAACAATAAAATGAAAAACACTTATAATAATAATAATAATACTGTAATGGTATGTCTTTGCTGATCAACAATCGGTGTTGTTACATATAAAAATAATAAATAGTGGCTGATGAGCGTCCTTTCAGTCTGTCTCAGTCACTGTGGACCAACCTGACATATAAACATATTATTAATATATATATTAGTGAACTGACTCAGTGACATCATATTATATTAAAACTACAATGAACCCAAATAATGAGCTCAGTAAGTGCAAAAGGTTTGTGTAAAACTTGAGCTCATTATTTCCCCTTTAAGGAACTTTTTTTTTTAGTATTCTGTATTTTTAACAATCACACAGAGTTAACAGGCTTCTTCTTTTGGTACATTCAGTGTTTCCTTGTCTTTTCTGAATCCAGAAGGCCTCGCAACCCCCAATGAAGCTTTGTTGAACTTAATAAAGAAATAATTTAAAGAAGAAAAATATTAATCCCTAAATGGGAGGGTGAAGTAAGGAAGTTGTAATCTGCAACTTCACCACTAGAGGCCACTAAATCCTTCACACTGGTCCTATAAGAGCTCCAGACCATGAACAGTAAATCTGTCTTCAGTAGCACAATACGATGCCGAGCACGTCCATAGATGTGAGTTAAAATATATATACACATATATCTTATTATTATTATTTCTAAACAATCCTGCAATGTATGATATAATATATATAGCTAATAATTAGGTACCAGAACAGTGCACAGACACATGAACACGTACAAAGAACTTCCTGTTTATCTTGTGATCACAACTTCATCTTGTTTTCTTGAAATTATAAATTATGTTTTTTTTTCCCTTTGTCCAAAGACAATAGATTAATTATTAACTTGAGATCCTCCAGATAACCTGATCATTACTTCCTGATAACAGACGTAAATCACTTGATCTGGGCCCCAGATGCTTTCCTAAAATAATCTGATAATTAAGTCATGATCTCAAGATGAAGAGTATTCAGTAATTATCAGTAGCCACAGTCAGACCTCCATCAAACGATCCCTGAGATGATCCTAAAGCTGTCAGGAAAAGTTCAACATTTTGGTGAATATGAGATGAGAACCTGAGAGAATTCCCCAAAATGTCAAACTATTCCTTTAAAGTTATAACAGGTAGATTTCTCTTTATGTGTTTAAATTGATTTAAATTATGTTGTTGTCCTTCTTGAAATGACGTCCAGATGGTGCCAAGGTAAAACACTGGAAGTCTTACAGCTGCTCTAAACCCGTCATGTCCACCTTCACTTTGACAAACAGCGTGTCGTCGCTGATGTACACAGCGTTCTGGGGCGTCTCCAGCTTGTTGAGGGGAATGAAGCATGAGAATCCAACAGCGACGTTGCTGACCGACTCGGCGCCGGGTCGTTGGAAGCTCTTGGACGTCTGGTCAGGTCTGAAGCTTAGACTCCGGTGGTTACCTGCACCACTTTGATCCAGAACAGACAGAGACACAGTCTGTCTGAAGGGCCACGGCAGCAGAGCATCAAAGTCTCCCGGCATTAGGACAACATACAGGGACAGGTGAGTCCCTCTTCCCTCCCCGTCCCCGTTCAGATAGACCTTAGCGGCCATTTTGTAGCCGCAGCGTCCGGTGTGGAACGGCACGCTGCTTAGGCAGGGTGGCTGACCTCTGACCTCGGCCTCCCTCCTGTTCCTGAAGTCATCGATCTTCCAGATCAGTCTGCCGTCGTAGGACGTGGCCTCAAGCTCCTGCAGGTGCTGCTTGTTACGGTTGAGCTGAGCGGCGTGGAGATCCAAGAGACCCGAGTGGTGCTTCAGGTTCTCCTCCAAAGTTCCTGAAAACACCAACAGCATTCACTGAAAGTCAAAATGGATTTGAATTGTTTATGTCTCATCTGTCTTTATAGGTCTTCTGTCCTCCAGTTTCTGTCCAACAGGAACAGGAAGTCCTGTTTCAGGTATGTTCAGGTGTTCTTAATGGTACTCGGGACGTATACTAATGCTGCGTCCAATGAAACGCTTTCTCTGAGGGTCGATATGTTACAGACATCTATGGCCTCATCATTACTGTACAAAAAGCTAACTTTATAGCTACATTAACTAGCTAGTTAGCTAGCATTTTGCTTTGTAGCTAGATAATGAGCTAGCTAATTACTGATTTATGTAAATTAACTAATTAGCTAGCATTTAGCTTTTTGATGTAACTAACTAGCTAACAATTGACGTAGTTTAGCTAATGAGTTAGCTAGCGTTTCACTCTGTTGCAAGGTAGCTAACATTTTGTGCTATAGTAAAATGCTAGGTAACTAGCTAGCTAATCTATGTCAATGGTTAGCTCACTAGTTACATCTGAAAGCTATTCTGAACACAATACTAGTTAACTAGTTAGCTGATTTACATCAATAGTTAGTTCGCAGCAGGTTTATAGACGCAGATTTTCAGGTTTTGGTACCCAGGTGTTCTTTGAGGGCCTCGGTCGCCGACACTTCCTGGATCACAGCATCCAGAGACTTCCTGAGCTGCTCAAGCTCCTCCAGACCAGGGCCGAGTGCCCGGGACACCTGCTGGACCTCCAGCTGGACGGTGGACAGAGCGTCCTGCTGCCTGCTTAGAGTCCTCTGACCACGCAGACAGACAGACAGACAGACAGGCAGACAGACAGACAGGCAGAGGTAACATGGTTAATAACATTGACAAGAGATGGCATGTGTCATACTTTCATGTACAGCTCCGAGCAGGTTCACCAGATCCAGCACAGATTATTATGAGTTATAAACCCTGTTGTCGTGTCGACGCAGTGAATGTCAATGTTTCGTTCTGGCAGTTAATTAAATCTTCAGGGGACTAAACACACTTGCACACACATCCAACCATCCTGGAGGATGAAGACAGTGAGCTGTTGGTGGATTTGGAAGAAGTGACAGTCACCTGAGCTGTAGAGACGATGAGTTCGTGGCTGCCGTTCTGTTGCAGCAGCGGTCTGATTTCCTTCTGCAGACCGGCCAGCAGCAAACTGTCCGTCTGGACCTCCTGCTTCCTCTGCAGCGCCTCCTCCTGGAGAACCTCCACCTGACCGAGGAGACAGCAGTCTGAGGGGATCACTTCTCCCTACAGATCGAAGACCTCGCTGAATGTCTTCACCTTTTGTTTTCAGGTGAGTTTACTGGACGTACCTGTTGTTCCAGGTGGGTGTTGCTCCTCAGCACCAGCAGCATGTGAAGATTGACAGCAGCGTCTTCATGCAGCTTCACCTTCACTCTCTTACCCTGCAGGACCAAACAGTTGTTGTCAGGTAACGAAGACAGAGAGTCGGGTCGGTGTCGCCGTTGTATTTAGACGAACCCACCTGCACGCAGCAGCCGAACCTCTTATAAGAGCAGTCGATGGGAACTTCGGGACACGTCTCGCTGTGCTCTGACAGCTGGAGGACAAGAGACACATTCAAACAGCTGATCAGCAAACACTGGCTGTTTGTACATGTTGTTGGACAGCTTCGAGGAATACTTAAGAGACTCTGGGCAATCAAGAGGTCTGACTGTGGCCCGAGTGCAGCTAACTGGACCTGATTTTATATCCACATGCACCGGAGCCAACTCATTTTTGGTCCTTTGGTGTTGAAACCAAAGTGGGCTGTATCTATTTGTTCATGATGAGCTCACCTTGTGTCTGGGAACCTTCTGGGAGCAGCCGTTGGGACAGTCCACCTCCACCTCCGGACAGGAGCTCTGCACGTGATCCTTCAGAACAGAGACACCACAACATCAGGACTCGATGTTTCAACACGCTGACGGCTGAATGATTCAAACTGCTCATTGTACTGTATTTATAGTAGGTATAGTAGTTTCCTCATTAAACAGTGTATGTGTTTTTACCTTCCTGACACCTGACACGGGTCATGATTTATGACTATACTGAGAAAACAAGGCAAATGGGACACTGCTGGGAAGTAGCAGTAGTGCACAAACACGCGTACTTGCCTTTCGAGCAGCATCGGAGGCATTTCGGAACCCCTGTAGTCGGTACCGACCCAGTGAAATTTACCTGAATGAGGCTGAGTCGGTGCAGCTGCTGGCAGTGTGGGCAGGGCTCAGTGCGGTGAGGACAGGTGTCGGTCTGGTGTTCCTGCAGGTATCTCCTCTGTAGCGCCGCCCTGCAGCCTGAGTTGCAACACTGCAGCTGCTCGTAAGGACACGACCTCAGGTGCTCCTGCAAGAGAAGATAATCTATTAACATATTCAATTCAATTCAGTTTTATTTGTATAGTGCCAATTCACAACAGAAGTTATCTCAGGACTTTATTATTTTTTTTATTATTACATAATGTGGTAAAGCTTTGGGGTCAAGGTGCCTTACGGGGGGGCGTCAATAGTCATTAATTTTTCTTTTTTGGGCTTTCTTTGGTTACTTGCTGTTTTATTTTGTTATTTTCCTCCTCTTGTTTCTTGTTTTGCTTCACTTCCTGTCTGTTTTCCCCCCAGTTTTCGTTGGCCCTGCCCCTGTTTATTTTCACCTGTGTATTTGAGTCTTTGGGCCCTATCTTGCCGATCTGAAACGCAAGTATCAAACGCAAAACGCAAGTAGCTTTGTGGGCGGATCTCGGGTGCTGTTGCTATTATGCCCGTGGGATAAATGACTCTTGCGCCCGGCGCAAATCTAAAATGGGTTGGTCTGAAGTAGCTACATTAGTCATAGGTGTGGTTTGGGCGTAACGTGCAATAAACCAATCAGAGCATCATCACATTCCCTTTAAAAGTAGGCGCGCTTGTTCCATGGCGGATTGCTATTATAACGGCGGATTGGCCAGGCGCAAGCCAGGAGCGGTTCACAGCCGAGGAGACCGACGTTCTCGTCAGGGCCGTAAAATACAGAGAAGTGACATTATTGACGTGAAATAAATGTAACACAGCCATACAATAAATCAAAACAATGTAACGTAGCTTCGCAGGAAGAAGACCCTGGCCTCGGGAGCAGTGCGCACGGGCCGAGCAGTGCGCAAGGGCCAGCTGAGGAGGGAGCAGCGCAAACACCAAGGTGCAGAGGATCCAGACCCACTAAACGCCGGAGGACCACCTGTTTCTGCAGCAAACCGGGTTTGACATGCTGGAGCGGGAGCTGTCCGGGATGCGGCAAAGTATTAATGCCCGTCTTGACCGGGTGGCGATGTTGCTGCTGCCTCTCAGGCGCATCGCCTCAAGTCTGCGCCCTTAAAATAGCATCTGAATAAGCGCCACTGACTTTAGACTAGGTTTTTCCTGGTCTGTGGCGGAATTGTTTTCTGAAACAGCAAAATAGCACCAGGGAACGTTTGCTACGGAACACGCCTCCTCTTTTCACTGAACCGCCCCCCGGAGCGCAAGTTCATTCCCTAATTTAAGGATGTGCGTCGGTGGAGGGAAAATTCCAATGTGCGTCGAGTGCAAAATAGGAATTATACAAGCGCCAGTGTACAAAGTCAATTGCGCTGAGTGCAAGATAGAGCCCTTTGTGTTTTCTTGGTTCAGTCAGTTTTCCTGGAACTGCAACCATTGACCTGGATCTCCTGGTAAGTCCTGCTACATTAGATCACTGAGGTCATCCTGCTGCTGGTGATATCTGAGTGTCTGACTCTGGACGTTATCGAATAAAGTTCACCTAAAGCTGAGGATTGATTGACGGGTGAATGTCGGGATATTATTGGTTGAAATCAGTTAGTTTATGTTGACGTAAGCACGCGTCACATTTAGTTTCACAGGAAGACAAAATGATTGGATTCTGATATAAAAACACAGAGAAACTGAGTGTGTGTGAATTGACAGTGTTAAATATAACTGAGGATGAGATCTTAAAGGCTTCGTCTACCTGCAGGTTGTGTAACGTGACGACAGAGGTGCATTCTGGGTAGTTGGTGCAGTACACTTCTAGATTGGAGATTTCTCGTTTGCAGCAGTTGTCCTGGAAAACCTGCAGGAAGAAAAACTCTCCATTAGGAACATTTAAACCTTTAACCTGCAGTGTCTCTAACAGCCAGCAGGGGTCAGCTCCACTCTGATAGTATTGAGTCTTATAGAGAAGTTAATTAATGAGCTCAGTAAACATCAGTTTCCTGATGAGTTTCTGGTCTCAGTCTCTAGTTTCAGTCTTCTTCCATACATCATGATGTTCATTTAGTAACTGATGGTCCCATTCAGAGTAAAACAGACCAGAATGCTTTAGTTTACCTCCGCTGGTGTGATTACGGCTCCGTCCACTGGACACGCTGGACTGGACGAAGTCTCCCTGAAACACAAAGCGGACTGATCACAGCAGGAAACATCACCTAACCTGGGCCACTTTTAAGGTGGACTGTATTTTAAGGTGGACTGTGTCAGTGTGTTTAAGGTGGACTGACAGTGTGAGTGTGTTTAAGGTGGACTGTGTCAGTGTGAGTGTATTTAAGATGGACTGTGACAGAGTGAGTGTGTTTTAAGGTGGACTGTGTCAGTGTGTTTAAGGTGGACTGTGTCAGTGTGTTTAAAGTGGACTGTGTCAGTGTGTTTTAAGATGGACTGACAGTGTCAGTGTATTTAAGGTGGACTGCACCTACAGCAGGCCCTGCAGGCAGTGGAAGCAGTAGATGTGTCCACAGGAGTTCTGCTGAGGGTTTAACACAACTCCTCTACAGACAGGACAAACAAACTCATCCTTCAGCGTCAACACAAACTTCAGCGAGTGCTGGATGGAGGTCAGCTCCGACTCCCAGGACCACACGGGGCCCGTCGACCTCATCCTGGACTCCTCGGACATCACAGACTCTTCAGACTGCAGACTGGACTCTTTGGATCCTCCCAGCTTGGTGTCTGTGGTTGCCATGAGTCTGTTGGCTGAGCAGAGCAAACAGGAGATTTTTATTCTTTTCTTTTTTAATTCAGATGGGAATGTATGAAATGAGGCAGTTAAAGTTGACTGGAGGCCTGACACGAGGAGGATTCAGTGTAATGAGTAGTGATGGGTCGGTCGCGAACGATCCGGCTCTAAGAGCCGGCTCTTTGAAGTGAATGACGGGAGCCGGTTCCTGATTGGAAGCCAGATCCGGCTTTTCCGGATTTTCCCGTTTTTTTCCTGTTAAAGCTGCGTGATTGGTCAAGATGTGTGGCGGCATCTGTGTATCTACACTGAGCAGGAGGGGTGGGGGGGGTACAGACACACATGGCACAGTGAGCACGTGAACAGGTGGGAGGGAGACGTGAGAGAGCGAGAGAACTTGGCTACATAGACAGAGACTACACACTGGAAAGGTGAGGAGAATTAGTGACAGGAAACAGTAAAGTTTGGACATATATATATGTGATAGACGGTTCAAAGGCAGAGTGTACACTGTGCAAAGTTAAACATTTCATATCGAGCAGCTTTTTGTCTAATTGAGATGGGTCTTTGTTTTTGTGTTTTATAATTTATTTTTGTAGCACTCTGTTGTTGAGTATATTAATAAATCCAAATAAATAATAAACATTTGATATAATGCATGTATTTACATTAGATATTAATTTTAATAAATTAATTTAAGCAACAAAAAATCTGAGGAGCCACCTGGGAGCCGAAAGAGCCGCTCTTTTTAGTGAGCCCAGACAGTGTTAATAAGTTCAGTGTCAGACTGCTGGGTGGGCTGATCTTCCCTGCACTATGCCTCCCAGGCTGCACAGAGCCTCTGATTGGTGGAAGTGAGAGGAAACCCTGCAGGCAGAACTCAGGGTTCATTTTACAGCTGCTGGATGTTTGTTAGGTAAAACAGATTAATTTCATAATCAATAATATTCTCCTAAACAAATAATAATTAGTCATCATTCACAGAGAAGTGCTCTGATTGGACGACCTTCATCTAGATCCGCGTGAGTGTCCAACTGACAGCGCAGCAGCAGCACGTGCTGAGGACACTGGCGCGCGCGCTGCTGTACTGACTGTATTGATTATTGATAACCGATCAGCATCAGTGCGGCGGAGACGGCTCAATAACGCACATTAAAGTGTCTGAATGAGGCTCGTGAACAGTAAAACAATCGATCTGTGATCAGCCGCGCGTGCTACTTTACTTTCACTTTCACAGACAGACAGGCAGAAAGACAGACAGACAGCGGACACACAGACACAGTTTAGTCTTCTTACCGTAGTCCGAGGAATCCCTCCGGGGTCCCTCCGAACACCCCACACTTACAGCGCAGCAGATCGATACTACTGATCGGTATCGATTATCTGTGGTCGATACAGCCGCCGCAACGGAAGAGGAAGTTATAACAGCCGGAAGTGAGTTAACAACCTGCTGCTGTTACTGCAGACAGCGACATCATCATCATCATCATCATCATCATCATCATAATATAATAATGATGATAACATGTAGTCTAGTAAAATTAACTAATAAAGTAACTTTATGTAGTTAACTGAAGTTATTAGTATTATAATAATAATAGCAGCAGCAGTAATAATAATAATAACAATAATATAATAATAACAACAATAATTACAATAATAATTACAATAATAATAATAACAATAATATAATAATAACAATAATAATTACAATAATAATAATAATAATAATAGCAGTAGCAGTAATAATAATAACAAAAATATAATTATAATAACAATAATAATGATAATAATAATAATATAATAATAACAATAATAATTACAATAATAATAACAATAATATAATAATAATAACAATAATTACAATAATAATAATGACAAAATATAATAATAATAATAATAATAGCAGTAGCAGTAATAATAATAATAACAATAATATAATAATAACAATAATGACAATAATAATAATAATAACAAAAATATAATTATAATAACAATAATGATAATGATAATAATAATGATAATAATGACAATAATAGTAATGATAATGATAATAATGATAATGATACTAATGACAATAATAATAATAATAATATAATAATAACAATAATAATTACAATAATAATAATAATAATTACAATAATAATAATAATAATAATAGCAGTAATAATAATAACAAAAATATAATTATAATAATAATAATGATAATAATAATAATGATAATAATATTAATGATAATAATAATAATATAATAATAATAATTACAATAATAATAATAACAATAATATAATAATAACAATAATTACAATAATAATAATAACAAAATATAATAATAATAATAATAGCAGTAGCAGTAATAATAACAAAAATATAATTATAATAACAATAATAATAATGATAATAATGATAATGATAATAATGACAATGATAATAATGATAATAATGATAATGATAATAATAATGATAATAATGACAATAATAATAATGATAATAATAATAGCAGTAGCAGCAGCAGTAATAATAACAATAATAATAATAACAACAACAATAATAATGACAATAATAATAGCAGTAGCAGCAGCAGTAATAATAACAATAACAATAATAATATAATAATAATAATAACAACAATAATATAATAATAATAATAGCAGCAGCAGTTATAATAAGCGTTACGATCAGACTTTATTAGGGGAACCTCCACAGTCTGATCCAATCGTCTTTTACACACAGAACTGGTCCGATGGTACAAATGTAGTTTTTAATGAGAACTCAGAAACATCTCAGCAGCTTCGTCTTTACAGCAACAGTTTACAGGTTGTACTGAAACTCAAAGGACCGGGTGAGACTCTGTGGCTCCAGATACATTTAATGCAGTGATACATGTTTGTCCAAAAAGCATTAAGAGCACTTTCACAATCATTTTTTAACACCAAGTCCAAAGTGGTAGCACCAGGAAGAATAAATAACGAAAACACACACGAAGAAATGTTTCAACACGTGGAAAATAATTCAACCCAACAGGTAAAGGAACAGTTTTCATTTGGCTGACGGAGAACATCGTCTGGACTTTACACAAACTGAAGGACGTCTGGTGGTACCCCCTTTCCACCAACCAGAACCCAGCGCTGGTTGTGGTTCTGGTGCCGGTTCAGAGCTCCTTCCACTCAGGAACCTTCACTGGTTTGCTTTTCCACAGGCTAATGAGCCACCATAGAGCCATGTCATTACATTACATCTCCAACATTAGCTATTGTTACCAAAGTTATCCTAGCTCGCTAGCTGTTGGTCAGCTAACATTATTCAAGCAAACATAGCTACTAATTTCTTACATCAATGTTACGAACCCTGAACATTAAAGTTTTTAACAATGTTACGACCAAAGCATCAATTTGAGAAATTAGTAACCATGTTTGCTTGAATAATGTTAGCTAGACCAACAGCTAGCTAGCTCGCTAGCATACTAGCTCAAAGTTACATTTCTAACATTAATGTGAGAAATTAGTTATCAATAAAATAACATGAATAAATACACAGCTGGCTGGCCCCTGGCCCCTGATGTAAGAGGTTAGGACAGTAAGTCTTAGTGCTGCATTGGAACCACTTTCTAGCGGAGACTCGGTTCTTTGGCTGTCGAAACGTGAAGAACTGGTCTGAGATTAGGCACCGGCTCCGAACCGGCCCTCAAACTGCCTCGGTGGAAAAGGGGTGGGGCTGAAACTTTAGTGTTTTTAAAACACATCAAATCAACTGTGAAACCAAACGTGCAGCAGCTGTTTGTCACGAGTTACTGACGGCTGATTGGATAGATTACAAATGATTCAAACTGTACACGTTAATGCTACCGTACACTGAGGCCTTCAGTTTAATCTCCATCTGTTACACAAACATTTTGGGTGAGCACAAATCATATAAACTGCAGAAGCCTGATATTCCTCTGTGCCATAGAGCTCCATTGTGTCCAAAAACTATTAAAACAAATCAGTGAGCCTTCGTCACCATGAACACACACTGTAGATTATTTATTCACCATCCTGCTGCCACAAGTACTCACAGCACCGTATGCGGATCAATCCGCTGCTGAAAATAGTCTCCTGTGGAACTAAAAATGTAAAGTTTGTCCTGATGGTGGCACTACAGGAAAGATCAATAGGTCATTATAATCTAAAGGGGAGCAGGTATGTTTGTTTCCAGCAGTAATGTACACATGTAGTGAACCCCGGAAGATAAAGACACAAAAACAATGAAATGATCAAAGTCAGATTCATTTAGCTCATGAGTGCGACTAAACCACTGGCCTCGAAATGCTTTACCGGTTTGTGTTTTATGTCGAAGAGGAGGCAAACTGATGGAGAAAAAGAAGGGACCTAGGATTGAACCCTGTGGGACGCCATATGTCTGCTGAGGATTAGTTAATGACTGAAAAGGTCAACAATCTTTTAAAGATTTTAAAACCAGGTGTCCATCAACCAGCAGGTACACTGCAGGTCGAGTCCTGTGGGAAAGAACTTCAACCCCCTAAAACACAAAAAAATGTTCACCAGATAACAAAGATTGTTTTGTTTAGTGTAAATGTTTCATTCATGTGTGTTGAGAGTAGAAAAGCTGTTTTGCACAATAAAGTCAGATTTTCCCACAGGACCTGAACGCAGCAGCTTCAGACTTTCTTCTTCAGAAACTCTGATGTTTGTTAGTGGGAGGAAGACGAGGCCGTCTCTGATTGGTGGACAGCCAGGCCGGGAGGCTGCTGGGTGGAGCTCGGACCTGATCCCCCGGGGTTGCCGCAGAGGGTCATCGGAGCGGGAGGTCGGGGGTTGAGGCGGGGGGGCAGGGGGTTGGAGGGGCGGATGAGGGGCGGCGGCTGCTGCAGTGTGGGGCGGGGCTGCAGGAAGCGGGCCTGCTGTTGGAGAGGCGGCGGCTGGCGGTGCAGGGAGGGCGTGGCGGGTAGGGAGGGCCGCAGGAGGGGAGGGGGCTGATGGAGAGAGGAGGAGGAGGTGCTGGAAGTCACTGGAATCTGAGCTGAAGAAGACGAGGAGGCAGCAGGAGACGCACCTGAGGAAGTCACCTGACCCTGCAGAGAGAAGAGGACGGGGCCAGAATTACCTCACTGCAAGTCTGCATCATTCACCTTTAAAAAGGTCCACTGTGTAACATCGAGCACATCGTACCCACAGAGGGAGCGTGTCCTGAACCACCACGTTTCTACAGTGGCCCACAACACACAAACCAAACACCGGCTCAGAAATACTCAGGAATACTTTATAGGGCCTTTTCCTCACGCTTCAAGCGACCACCGTAGTTTCTTCCTTGCACTTGAAAAGGGAGGGTGAAGCGAAAGAGTTGCAATCTGCAACTAAACCACAAGATGTCACCAAATCTTACACACTGGACCACTAAAGGTTGGGAACCACTGCCTTAAAAACAAAGACTGACTGGAGCATAAAAGAACCAACGTGTCTCACCTCTTCATCCTCCTCGTCGGTGCTCTTCCCCGACGGAGTGGTGGAGCTGTTCTTCCCCTCCTCTCCAGAGGTGGCGCTGTCTCCGTTGGGAGCTCGCGTCCCCTGCTCGGCCTCCCACTCCTGCAGCACCTCGTCCAGGTTGAACCGCCGCCGGTAGTTCACAAAGAAGTTCTTCACCTGGCCCACCGTCTTGTTGCCGATGACGTCGGCGATGGCCTGGAAATCTTTCCCGTATTTCCTGACACCTGGAAGAAAATCGCAGACGCTTCATCCATCGATTCACAACACACAGAATAACTATTCAAAGAAAACCAGTCACATCAGGCAGAAACCTCTTTTTTTAAATACTTTTCATATGGCAAATGAAAATGTTTTGATGGTAAAAACTACAATGGTAAATAAAGAATATGAAATAAATCTCTAAGTTAACTAAAATCCTTTTACCGTAATATTACAGGAAAGTTCTGCCAGTTTTTTGCCATAAAATATTTATATTTTTTTACAGTGTAGCTAGTTTCAGATCCAAAAAAAGGAAAGTGTTGGAGGAAAATAAAGCTGCCTTACTGGTATTTATTACATCAGCATTTTATTGGAGACTCTGATATGTTTTGTGGATCCAGAGAGATTTACTTTGTTGTTTTTTGGGCACAGTGAAGGTTGCTGACCCGTGATATATACTGTCAGTGGTAGTCACACAGTCCTTATCCTGTGTCTCTGTGTTAAATGATCTCAAATATACATAAAAAAAACTTTCCTCTTCCTGTAGAACATTTTGGAAACATTTTAATCCCACCTCTTTCACTCAGGAACACACTGCAGTTTCTCTGGCTGGGAAGCAGCGAGGAAGAAGAGTCAGACCTGTTACCTGCTGTCAGTGTGAATGATGAAGCTCACCTTGAACAGCCAGGAGCTGCTCGTCTGTGGTCCAGCGGGCGTTCACCTTCTGGTTACACTGCGACAACACAGAACGACAGACAGGAACAGGATGTGAAGATACTGCCCTCTAGTGGTGATTCATCAGCGCTCAATACAAACCGCTGTAATTAGTAATAAAGTTCACAGTTTGAATGTGTTTGGGTGCAGCTCCTCTTTATGTTTGTACCTCAGGCAGCCTGAACTCTTCGATCCCAGACTCCAGAACGTGTTTCAGTCCGCTGTTCATCTGTTTGGCATTCTGCACCTGAACAACGAGACGTAAACACTCAACAAAACACAGGAAACACAGGTATCACCAGCAGGTGGCAGCACAGCCCAGGAGGACCAGGAACATGAACAGACATCAGACAGGACATACTGAGGTAGTCGGGGGTATGCAACGTGCTACTGTTAGCATGCTAAGGCTAAGCCCGTCTAATACGATGGTGCTGCACGAATGTCTTTATTGTGACAACGTTGAGCCAAACTCACTTCCTTGTTTCTAGCATGTACAACCGTTTACACTCCAAACAGTCGAGTTTATTATATCGATTTTTTTAATGAATTATACAAAAATAATTACATCATTAATTACATTAGAAGAAGAAAATGCCTGAAAACAAAACAAGACTGCAAGGTTTTAAAAAAAGCTGCTGTAAAATAATAATTAAGAATTAATAATAGTTGTAATAATTAGTAGTAATTAACAAAAGAATAGTATAATTAGTAGTAATTATTATAATTCACAATAATATATCGATATTAATATAACTGGATATTTTACAGTAAAATGTAGCAGAAATACACCAAATTACAAAACACAGTAAAACTGTAGTGACACAGAAATGTTCTATATCCTCTATTACAGGACAGTTACAGTAGTGATATATATTGTATTTATAATATAAATAAAGAACCTTCTGGCAACCGAGCTGCCAGAAGGTTCTTTGGTGTCGTAGCGCCTCCTACCTGTCTCTTGAGGGACACCAGCTCCATGTCCAGCTGACGGAGGAGAGTGTTTGCTGCCGAGGCGCTGCAGGACACGGCCACCACGTCCTCCTGGGTCAGGTACATGCCTTTGGGGGGGCGGCAGCGAGAGCGCTGGTGGTGCCGGTGCTGGAGGGTCTGGTGCTCCCGCCGGCCCAGAGCCACCTTAGAGCCCAGTACCGCTGGCTCCACCTGGTTCTGCAGGGATGGAAAGACGGAGGACGAGCCGTTTAATCAGAGTTCAAACAGTTTATGGGATACAGGAGCTGAAGAAACGTTGTTACAGATTATCAGACGAAGGAATTTAACTGGTTCAATAGAAACCCGGCGGTTCAGGGTCGATGCAGAAGTTCTCGTTAACCAACTTACCTCTTTCTTGGTCTCCTTGTTGGGGTCGTAGTCGCTGTCGTTGGCTTCTACGGGATTGGCCTCCTCCATCTCCTCATCACTACGGCAACAACAACGAGCCAATATTCAGTTCAGCTTCGAAGGACAGGTTCCCCGAGCAGTTCGGGTCCAGGTGTGAGACCTACCTGTCTTCCTGGTTGCTCCTGTTGGCCAGCTTGCGAGCCTGTCGGTCCATCAGACTGGTTCTGGAGCGAGTCTTCTTCCAGGAGTAGTAGTACTTCACCAGACTGGAGATGGATTTGTCTGGTAACTGCGGGACGCCATAAAATACAACGTTTACCACAAACCCAGTGAGACACCTGGAGGGACAGACAGGTGTGAGTGGGTGGTTACCATCTGCTGGATGCGGTGGAAGCTCTTCCCGTGGAAGCTGAAGGCCTGTTCGAACAGAACTTTATCCTCCACCGTCCACTCGTCTGGAAACGGAGTGAAGTTCGGAAGGTCGGCCAGAGATTTCTCAATGTTGTGTTTGTGCCAGAAGAGCATCCCGAGAGCCTGGAGACAGGTAGAGAGTGAGACAGGTAGAGAGTGAGACAGGTGGGGAGTCAGACAGGTGAAGAGTCAGACAGGTTAGCAGTGAGACAGGTGACCCACCTGCTCCACGTTGTATCCGTGTTTCTCTTTGGCGATGGCGATGTATTCGTCCACTGCGGAGGAGAACACAGTCAGACTGATCTGAGGACCTGATAGAGGACAGGACAGAGACAGGAAGTGGACTTACGTTTGGAGTCGATGATGCAATGATACGGAGACCAGACGAGCATCCCGCCGCTGTCTTTGTCCGAGTACTTGGTGGAGCCTGAGCGCAGAGACAGGAAGTGTTTTACAGCTGCATTATGGGAAATGTAGGATACAGTGAGGGAAATACACCATTGTACCGTTAGCATTGTACCGTTAGCATCATTTATTGTTGGCTAAAATCTCCGTTTGACATAAGTTAGTATCATGGATCACATTAGCGGGGGAAGCTAACGTTAGCGAGCTAACACTCAGATAGCATTAGATAACGTTAGCGAGCTAACACTCAGATAGCATTAGATAACGTTAGCGAGCTAACACTCAGATAGCATTAGATAACGTTAGCGAGCTAACACTCAGATAGCATTAGATAACGTTAGCGAGCTAACACTCAGATAGCATTAGATAACGTTAGCGAGCTAACACTCAGATAGCATTAGATAACGTTAGCGAGCTAACACTCAGATAGCATTAGATAACGTTAGCGAGCTAACACTCAGATAGCATTAGATAACGTTAGCGATCTGCGTCTTTATTTAGTGAAATCTTTAAAAACTAATTATAAAAATGTTCTGATTGTTTTTTTAGAGTCGAACTGATCAGTCGGTCATTTGGTGGAATATTGATCAGTTTACTGAACAAACTCAAAGAACTGATCGATTAATCCGCTCATATCCGCAGTGTTCATTAGATTCATATATTAATAAATAATATTTAATAAAGTTTGTTCAGAATATTATTCAGTATATTGATGAATCTAAAAAAAACATTTTGAAAGAAGAAATGAAGGAAGTGAATGTTAAATATTGTACAATGTTTAAATGTGTAATAATAACATTATCATCATTATTATTATTATTAGAATATAATATATATTATTAATAATAATAATAATATTAATAATAATAATAATAATAATAATATATATTCATAATAATATTAATAATAATATTAATATATATTAATAATAATATTAATAATAATAATAATAATAATATTAATAATAATAATAATATATATTAATAATAATATTATTAATAATAATAATATTAATAATATTATTAATAATAATAATATATTATTATTAATAATAATAATATTAATAATAATAATAATATTAATAATAATAATAATAAAGGGGCAGCCTGTACACTTTCTCATTCACTGTGATGTGACGGGCTGAGGTAGCCTCGGTTCCTCCACACACACACACACACACACACAAACAGGCTGTACCGAGGCTACCTCGGTCCGTCACTCCGGTACAAACCAGCGGACCCTCACCGGGCTCGAACTCGGGAATGTTGGCCTGGTAGTCGGCTCCGACCCGCATCCCCACATCTGGAAAACATCAGCAGCAGACAGGAGCGTTATTGACACGCTGAAAAACCGCGCACATTCACGCACATTCACGCACATTCGCAGGGAGGCTGTTCGAGGCTATACTCACCGTGTTCGTCGTCGCTGCCGCTTTCGTCAGAAAAATGTCCGTTAGAAGCGTTGGACGGACTCTTGGTTCCGTTCGAGCGACCTTTCCCCAAATACTCCGAGCCTTTATCCATCATCCCCGGCATCTCCGCGCTCCGAGTGTCCGTTTTCCAGCCGCGGTGTCCGGATAGAAAATGTCAGCAGGAGCTGGAGGTTTTTATCTGCTGCGGTTCGCTCGCTCTCCGCAGCTCCCACCGTGTCGCTGTCG